ACTTGGGAGGCTGAGGCAGAAGAATCGCCTAAGCCCAGGAGTTGGAGGTTGTTGGAGCGACTCCACTGCACTCTACCGAGGGCGAAAAAGTGAGACTCTGTCTCTACAAAAAAAAAAAAAAAAATATCTTACCTCAGGTTTTCTATTTTTAGTAGAGATGGGGGGTCTCACTTTTGCTAAGGCTGGTCTCGAACTTGTGAGCTCAAGCTGATCCAACTGCCTCGGCCTCCCAGAGCTAGGCCTCAGCCACTGTGCCCAGCCTCAAAAACCATTTCTATACCCTGAAATCCATTTTGACATTAGTCTTTGAAAACTGAATTTTGTAAAATACTAATGCTGCTCTGGTGACTGACTTCAGCAACACCAACAAAGATCCCAACAGATACCAGCACTCCTCCCAGACAGCACTTACCAGCTCACCAGAAGATGGCGCAGAGGAGGCCATCGTTCAGTAGTCAGGTAAGCTTGTCAGCTCAGTCTGCAGAAATTGGTCCATTCATTATCCCTGTCTTTAGAGATCAAAATAGTTGTTGATACATGACATAAGTTTAAGATCTTTCTCTTTGTGAAGTGGTTGTTATACATATCAGTCATTTAAATGATTTTTCAGGTAAAATGGTAGATTTTTTTTTATTGTGAAAAGCTGATCATTGAGAGCTGTTTATTTCTAAGTCTGAATACCAGTTGTCTTCACTTAAGTTCAGCCAACATATTATTGAGAGCTTGTGCTAGTTACTGTATCTGGGTCCTTGAACAATAATAGATAAATAAGGAACAGGCCTTTTTAGTGTAGAGGGGAAGCAGATCTATAGTCAACGAATAAAAGTCGAAGGCAAGTTGTTAAGTTCAGTGATACACATATCATGTTCATATCTGGTGGAAATACTCATGTATGGGAATGAGCAAGCATTACTTCAGCATTGTTTTTTATTTTTCTTTAGTCCATAAATTCCCAATCTGTTGGTTCATCATTAACACAGCCTGTGATGTCTCAAGCTACAAATTTACCAATTCCACAAGGCATGTCCCAGGTATTTTTTATTTGTTTGTTTGAGTATTTAAAAATAACCAATTGCTTTTAAGCTAATATAATTTTTAAAAATAATAGTTATTTTCAGTCTTATCTGGGAACATTGTTGATTGTCATGATGCTCATGACTCCACCACTGGCCCATAGTGGGCAAGGGGCAGTGATGCTAAATGTCTTCACAATGAGGAATTGTCCTGTTGAATATGCAGTAACACCCTCACTGAGATACTGCAGATGTGAAGATGTTAAAGGTGAAATACAGCTGTTCTTTCTATGAATTTTGGCAGAATCGAGTAATTGTATTCATATATTAATTCATTAACATATAGAATATATTGAGTTGCTTTTGTGTAACAGACACTGCACATACTAACAGTACAAATATATAATATCTGTAGTAAAAGACCATTACATCTAGAGAGAAGAACAAACACCTACACTACCGTGTTATATTGTCTGTGCTCAAGGCAGATAGGCTGATATGTGAGACATTGCATGGACCCTTAATGAAACCTGATGAAGTAAAGGAAAATTTCCTAGTGGAGTTGTTACTTGACTGAGTCCTGAAGGATGCCTGAGTGTAGGAAGGTACCAAGACAAAGGAGATGAATTACAAGAGCAATTCTTTGTTATCTTGGATCATGATTTCCAACTTACAATTTACGATTTAGTATTCATTCAGTGCCTCCAACACTTTGAAAATACTTCTGAATAGTAATAAGTATAATATAAAATCCCCCTTTTTGTTAGGCTTTAAATGTATCTTATCATAGCACTATATCCATTTTAAGTTATGATTTAATAATACATAAAAACGATAACTTTTTAAAAATATCTTTACCTTGTCTGGTTATTATTTAAATTGTGCGTGTGTGACTATGAGATAAGTGCACAGATATATTGGAATCCTGCAAATTATCTAAACTTCATAATTTTGATTTCTAGGAACATACTATCATGTAAGGTCTTTATAACATCATAGTATTATTCACATTTAGTTGCAGTAGTTTTTTTTTTTTAATCTTTTTGGTTGCAATAGTTTTTAATCAGTATTTAGTTCTCAAATCCTATCTGTTGTAAAGTATTAACAGAATTTTTATGTAAATATTTAAACATACTTTCAATATTACTAGTTCTTTAATCTTAGAATACTGAATAAGCATTTAACATTTTATAGGAGTATTTTCATGAGGCAAATGAGATGTACTGTGTCAAAAATGTCAGGAAGCATTAAAATCTCACATTTAGTTCCCTAATAAAGACAAACATTTAGCCTTGTAGTTCTGTGGTTTGGTTTTCTGTTATCTCGCCTTCCGTATTAGTTACTACTTTCTTATTTGTACCTGGTAGAAATTCTTAAGTGGTGACAACATAATGTTTACCCAAAAGTACAAATGATTGTAGTTTACAATAAAATATGTTTATTTGACATAAATATAACATATTTTGACTAATAAAAGATATAAAAGGCCTGAGGGAATTGAGGCACTAAATGTGTAATATTTTCTCAAACCTAGCATAATCTAATATGTGATAGGGTCTGGTTATCATCAGCTTCAGAAGTTGGGGTTGTATGCTTTGAAATGTAGTATTCAGTGTCTTTAAATACAAACTTCCGAATATAAAGTCAAAAGCTTTCAAGTGGGGGGAACATTTCTCTCTTTTGGGACAGTTCACTGTTAGATTCTTCTAAGACAGATTCTCTATGTAATGAAACCCTGCTCCTACACTGTTTCATTTATTGAATATTCATGGGCATGTTTAATGAGTCTGTGTAGACTTAGGGGATGAATCACCAAATGTGGCTAAAGACAAGCTGCTTACTGACTCAGGTAAAACAGAGAAATAAGTAATACTGAAAACCCAGGAAGTAGAGTGACTTTATATTTTTATTTATATGTGCACTTATTTTTTCATAATTGCTTAGTCTCTGAAGCCCATATCCAAGGATGGTTATAATTAAAAATATAAGTGAAATATTTTTGTTGATTATCAGATTTTTGTTAACTTGTGTAATTTACTGATATGCACATAGGAGATATTGATGACATAATTTGATATGAATTAACTCCAGGTACTGGCTACTTTCTGATTTGTTGTAGCATGAAATAGAAGCTAAGAAATTAAATAATTTGTTTTAGTAACTGATAGCCACAATATGAGCTCAGGTCTTCTAATTCCAGAGTGTAATCAGTCAGGATTCAGGCTCAGCATGCCAGAAATTTGAACAGAAATGATATAAAAAATTATTAACTGATAATAGAAATTACATCCTAAAAGAAGTAAAGAGAATCTGAGGACTGTGGGAATAGCAGATGTAGACAGCAGCTACTACCTATAAGCCAGAGGGGTGACACCCAGGGAAGGAACATGCTTGGAAGACTTCCCCGCAACCTCCTCAGTTCTTTTTCCTCTGTGTCAGGCTGAGATTCAGGTCTTGTTAGAGCAAGTTTGGCTGTTTACACTGGATGATGGAGAAGTCACTGAGGTGCTGCAAACAAGGGCTGGGGTCCTGGGAAACCTTGCTGGGAAGCTGCCCTCGGGCACCTCTGACTTAAGAATGAGAGGAAAAACAATAAATAGAAAATATTTTTTAAAAGTAAGAAGGAAAAACACCAGACAGGAGATGAATGCCTTCCTTTGCAGGATCATTGCAGCACCATGACTGACGTGACTGACTTTGTGCCTGATGGCAAAGGAGAAACACATCAAGGTCCAGCTGCAGCAGCACAAAGCTCAGCACAGCAGAGGGGGGTCAGCTGGTGCTGGGGGGTGTTACCTGGCATAATATTTTTAACTAGTGATATCCTGCTTATTTTCCACACTGCACAATTATATGAAATAATTCTAAAGTATGTTATATTTTTTTCCATATGTGGTACTTCAGTTTCAGTTTTCAGCTCAATTAGGGGCCATGCAGCATCTGAAAGACCAGTTAGAGCAGCGGACACGGATGATAGAGGCAAACATTCATCGGCAACAAGAAGAACTAAGAAAAATTCAAGAACAACTCCAAATGGTCCATGGCCAAGGGCTGCAGGTAAATTACTGTTACATTTGAATACAGAGCAAATGGGTTTATAGGAAAAATGACTTTCTTTAACTTAAAGTGAGATGCAAGAGATACATTTCATCAGTTCACTAAATATAAATACATACTCAGTGTAATTATACTTAACTGTCTCTAGAGATAATTCCTTCCTAAGGGTGTTTTCCAGATTAATGAAGTCATTTCAATCAGTCCAAATTTTAATAAGTTTAAATCCATAATATAAAAATTACAGTTTACATAAACATTTATTAATAGAGACAGAATTTATAAAGCAGTCATCAATAAAAGTTGTAATAAGGAGAGGTACAATTCAAATTAGTCTTATTTGACCAACACTGTAGTAGACTGGGACTTTGGTAAAGGGAAAACATTGAGTAAAAATTACTTGTATCTATGTGTAAGTTATAAATGATAAGTGGTACAGAGCTTCTAGATCACAGACTTTTCAGTAGTATTGAGTTACAGTTGGAAATAAAGCTTAGGATGACTGGAAGATTGAAATTTTTTTTCTTTTTTTAAACTTTAATAGAATTAGCGGGTACAAGTTGAATTCTATTACATGTACGTGTATATTTTGCATAGTGGTGGGTTCTGGGCTCATGTGACCATACCCTGTATTAGTGTATGTGGAAGATCGAATTCATTGTTGATGGTTCCTTCAGAATGCCTTGATCTTCTTGTCATTTGCTTTTAAAACTTTATAGCTTGATTTTTTTCTTTCTTTTCAATGCTTTCATTCTTTTTGTTTTTAATCTACAATTCTCAACTTAATGCGATCTTTATTTTTAAAGATGTTTTTACAACAATCAAACCCTGGACTGAATTTTGGTTCTGTTCAACTTTCTTCTGGAAATTCATCCAACATCCAGCAACTTGCACCTATAAATATGCAAGGCCAGGTTGTTCCTACTAACCAAGTTCAAAGTGGAATGAACACCGGACATCTTGGCACAACTCAGCACATGCTGCCACAGCAGACCTTACAGAGTACATCAACTCAGGTGACACTACCAAGTACAGCAGCCTATGCATGTTCAGCGATTGAAGTGTTCGCTACTGCTAAAATAAAAGAAAGCTGTAGTCTCTCTTAAAAACTAGCATATTTTAAAATTTAGTTGATGAAAAAGTATAGTATTGACAGATCATTAAAATATTTTTTGCAAAATTATGTGTTAAATATTTTTGGTGATTTTACATTTAAAAAATTTCACAATCGGCTCTGTGGCCATAGCTTAGCGGTTAGGGCACTGGCCACATGCACCGAGGCTGGCAGGTTCAAACCCAGCCCAGGCCTGCTAAACAACAATGACAACTGCAACAAAAAAAGAAAAAACTATTTTCACCATTTGTTTAAGGTTCTAGTCAAATAAACTTACACCAGGTTCTTGTAACTCACAGTCTACTTCCAAAAGAGGCTGACCAGGAAACACACTGCCATATTTGCAGACTGTGGTTAGGGGGCAGCGATGTTTTAACTGGTATTCTCGAAAATTTTGGAAATTACTATGCATCTATGACTATAAATTCCAAGTCTTTACATGAAAAATATAAAATATCTATAATCAGTCACTCACTTTGGGCATTTAATAGAAATTTTTTTGTGTATCTTTTATGTTATCCTGTTAAGATTGTGGGTTTTTTTTTTCTGAAGTCATAGCTTGCCTTACAAGAAGGTAGGGAAGACTAATTCATTCTCAATTACAAGTCATTCCTTTGTGGTCAGATTCTTTGTAGAGTATCATGTCCTGTATTGTGAGTATGATGAATATAGAAGCATACTTCCCAAATAATGTTTTTCAGTTAATCAATCTATCTGTAAAACCTTCTCTTTTTCAGCAGAATCAACAAAATGTACTGAGTGGGCATGGTCAGCAAACCTCTCTTCCCAGTCAGACACAGAGCGCTCTCACAGCCCCGCTGTATAACACAATGGTGATTTCTCAGCCTGCCGCTGGAAGCATGGTCCAGATCCCGTCTAGTGTGCCACAAAATAGTGCTCAGAGTGCTGCAGTCACTAGCTTCACTCAGGACAGACAGATAAGGTAGTTGTCATAGTTCTTTGTCATTTTCAAAGTTGCAGATTGATTAAAAAATAATTTTTATTTTAATTTTTCTTTTCTTGAGACAAAGTCTCACTTTGTCACCTATGGTAGAGCGCTGTGGCATCATAGCTCATAGCAACCTCAAACTCTTGGCCTCAAGCGATTCTCTTGCCTCAGCCTCCAGAGTAGTTGGGACTACAGGCACCTGCAATGATGCCCCAGCTAGTTTTTCTAGTTTTAGTAGAGATGGGGTTTTGCTCTTGCTCAGGTTGGCCTCTCAGAGTGCTGGGTTCACAGGCGTGAGCCACTGCGCCCATTTTTTAATTAGAGTGATGATTTGTGAGTTGTAGGAGTTCTCACATACTCCGGTCATAACCCCTTATCCTTTTGGCTCTCTGCACAACAATCCAATTATTGAGACAACAAAAATTGCCAAGGAAGAAATGAATTTTAGTGGGAAAGATGTCTGCTAGGAAAATGGGAGAAATAGTCTCAAATCTGTTTCCTTGATGTGGCCCTTTTAAGGAGGGGCCCTGGGCTTTGAGGCAGGTAAGTACCTTGGGGCAGGTCAGGGAGTATCAGGATTGTAATGTGGTCAAGAATTTTGCCCTGGGGCCTTTGGAATCTCAACTCCTTTGTCTTATAAAAATTTTGCCATTTCTGAGAAACATCTCAAAAAGTTCAAATAGTCAAGGGAGATTATTAAAAAAAAAATCAGGGGTCTTTGAAATTTGCTTATGAAGCTGGTTGCGTTGTTAGATATTTGATGTGCAGACATTTTCTCATTTATGGGTGGCTTTTGACTCTGTTGCTATTGCTCTTTAATACCCTGAATTGCTATCTTGTTGTAGTCCAGTTTGTCTTTTGTTGTTGTTGTTGGTTGTGCTTTTGGTGTCATGTCTAAGAAATCATTGCCAAATCCAGGGTCTCCTGTGTTTTCCTCTCAGAGTTCTGTAGTTTTAGCTTCTGTGTGTAGGTGTCTGATCCATTCTGAATTGATTTCTATGTATGATGTGAAGTAAAAGTCCAACTTTATTGTTTTGAATGTGGATGTCCAAACAAACTTAATCTTTTTGTCATGGTGATTTTACTATATACGTTTTTTGTTTGATACTCAAAGGAGATTTTTAGAGTCATGAAGCAAAATAGGAACATAAAGCATTTTAAAATATGGGTTGGGGCTCAGTGCCTGTATGTTAGTGGTTAGGGCGCTGGCCACTTGCACCAGGGCTGGCAGGTTTGAACCTGGCCAGGGCCTGCTAAAACAACAATGCAACAAGAACAACAACAAAAATAGCCAGATGTTGTAGCAGGCGCCTGTATTCCCAGCTACTAGGGAGGCTGAGGCAAGAGAATCGCTTAAGCCCAAGAGTTGGAGGTTGCTGTGAGCTCTGACAACACAGCACTTTACTGAGGGTGACCTAGTTAGACTCTGTCTCCTCCCCCCAAAAAAAATTAATGGGTAGGCAGTATCATCGGGTATTATCTTAGTTAGGTGGTCAGCTCACTGCCTTTAATGATGTATAACTTGTATTTTTAACAGATTTTCTCAAGGTCAGCAACTTGTGACCAAATTAGTGACTGCTCCTGTAGCATGCGGGGCCGTCATGGTGCCAAGCACCATGCTCATGGGCCAAGTGGTGACTGCCTATCCGACGTTCACTACTCAGCAGCAGCAGTCTCAGGCACTGTCGGTGACGCCGCCGCAGCAGCAGCAGCCACCGCAGAGCTCCCAGGACCCACAGCTGACCACAGTGCCCCAACCTTCTCAGGCCCAGCTGACTCAGCCTCCACAGCAGTTTTTACAGGTGATTCTCCCTGGGGGGTGCTGTCTCAAACCCACTTTTATTTAATGAAGTTAACCATTTAATGAGCAGTTTTATAAATCGAAAACACTTTATTGTACAATTTAAATCTCTACAATGACAGAAACCCTGTCCTGGTTGGCTGGTTTTTCTTGCCTTGTTTAGTCCTTGGAAGACGAGCTGTGCCATGGGCAAACCCAGTGATCTGAGCTGCTGGGTAGAGTAAGTGGTCTGTGTCCTATTCACATCAAGGCCGTTCACACGGAGCCTGTTTTCTCTGTTCAGCTAGAGTATTTGGAATCTAAATAAAGACACCTTTCCTTCTAGCTGCCTATCAGGCTCACTCTTTTCAGAGCAGGAATTTCTTTTTGTATAGGTGTTACCTTAAATTATTTTGGGGGGGTAAATTTTAATTATAATTTTTCAGTTATAAATCAGTATCAGAAGAGAAATACTGTATTTGCTATGTATGATATGCTCCCATGCATAATGCGCACCTACAAGTGGGGCCAGAACTTTCAGGAAAACGTTCAAGAAAGTAGTCAGTAGCCAGTTTTCTGCCAGAAGAGACCCATCTGGGGAGGCCAGCACTCCCCTGTAAGTGTGCAGTTCATACTGCTTCCCCCAGCCACCCACTCAGTGAAGGTTGGCCCTTCCTTCCCTGCTATGTTACGTATGGCCCTATGGCCGGTGGCGTTGAGCTTCTGAGACTGATGGCTCAGCCAGTAGGCAGCCAGGTGCTTGGGTCCTGTGAGTCCCCTCTCCATGGCTGGGTCTTAGGCCTGGGTCTTAGCCCGCCTCGCCAGCCCTGCCACCACCCCTCCACCCATCATGCTGCAGCCCACTCCTGCTGGATCCCAGTTTTCCTGGACTGGAACCCATGGATGTGGCAGGCCCAGACAGGATGTGCGCTGGCCCTGGGAGACCCCTGGGCTTCTCCACATCCAGCTGTGCCACCCATGTGTAATATGCCACATATAATGTGCATCCTTATTTTTCCCACAGAAATTTGAGCAAAAAAGTGCACACTATACACAGCAAAACACAGTGGAGGGGGCAGTGTGTGCTGCAGTGAGGTCTGGGCTTATCTCAGACCTAACGGTTCCAACTTTGCTCTGATTTTTATGTTGTTTTAAATAGTGATAATAATATCTAAGCTTTATAAAAACCCAATTTGGTAGAGACCAAGTGAGACATCTGGAAGATGGGGTGGCCCAAATCTGAACAACACAGCCTCCCTCAGGGCCCGCACCTGGGCCTTCCCTGTGCTGCTCTAACGAGCTGAGCAGACTAGTGTGCAAAAGCTTATGCCATTTGACTTCAGTATTTGTGTCGTGCTTTGTATAGCAATGCTCAGACGTTAGGCCTCTGGGACGTAAAGTGAGAGAACACATGCTATGGTTTGTCTTCACACATAGATGGCTGGTTGTGCACAAAATCTCCAGTTCAGGTTCCTTAAATGAAGTCCTGTCATACTTCCAGAAAGAAGGAAAGCCTCATAAACATTTTGTAAAATATGATTTTTAAAGTAGAGAACAGAATTCTTATGGGTTACATGTCCCTGTGGACATGGGACACCGTAAGTCAGTCTCATGTGGGCAGCAGGAAGAGGTAAAGAGGTCTCGCATAATCCGTTGTCTTTCAGACTTCTAGGTTGCTCCACGGAAACCCTTCAGCTCAGCTCATCCTCTCTGCTGCGTTTCCTCTACAGCAGAGCACTTTCCCTCAGTCACATCACCAGCAGCACCAGTCTCAGCCACAGCAGCAGCTTAGTCGGCACAGGACTGACAGTTTGACTGACCCTTCCAAGGTTCAACCACAGTAGCACATGTGCTTCCTCTCTGACGTCAGGGGAGGAAGGGGATGGCCCAAAAAGAGCTACTCAGATGACCTGAGGATAGGAGGAAACGTCCCAGCAGTTTCATGAATGTTCTAGTTCCTGGAATTGGCGGAGAAAATGGTGCCTAGTGCTACAGATGTGTATTAAATACCAGCCAGCAGGAGACGATCACAGGGACGTAGCCAGTTCTGACAGTGTTTTAGTTGCCCAGGTATTTTTTCGATGGAAAAAGAGTATATTGCCAAATGTAAGAAGCCCAGCTATGAAATGACCTCCAGTGAATCAGAAAGGCACTAACGATGTTAGTAACTTTTAGTGGTTCTGTGCCTATTGTCAAGTGTTACAGAGGACACGCCACTGCCACGTCAGGGGTTTGCTTGCAGTGATGCCATGAAGACAGTCCAGTAGACTTGGTAGCCCCCGCCCCAGCCCCTCTCCCTTTTTAGATAATGATGGAACAGTAATTCCTTTCAGAATGTTGTGTGGGTTCAAATTCTCTGTGTACAGATGCTGTAAAAACGTGTATATGTCTGGATAAAAGGAGAGAAAGCAAAACTTGCTGTATGCTGCGTGGAGCCTCCTCTCCTCCTGCAGTGTGAGCACATTTCCTTGGATTCTGACACCAGGTGCGAGCGGATGCACCCTCTTTTTCCTTTGTTTACAACACATTAGTGTTCTATTCAGTTTTCCAGAGCACAAGTCTTTTTGTTCATACTTTGGCTATGATGTCACAGTTTGTTCAGTGAGGTATGATGTGCTGCTGGGAATCGATGTTTTTTCAGGTTAAATTATTGATACAACAGGATTTTCAAGTTATTCAGAAATACTCATTTCATTGTCAGTTATGTTTGAAAATAGTATTTGCACTGCTTTATTTTAGATGGTTGGGAGTTTTGATCACATATTTTGATATAGTTTATAGTTGGAAATATTTGTGTAATGGTATTCAACAAGCCTGAAAGTAATTTCAAGAATGTTTCAGTTATAGAGGTAAAATTTGCACACAAAACACCTTAGGCACTTTTTAACATTCTCAGTGGTGGGAATTTTAACTTTTAGGGTTTGTTGGAATCTTTTTTATTATCCTTCACAATTTCAATGCTTCTTTTAGTCAGAAATGATTCAGGGTTATTTGAGGGAATAAAAAAACCCATAGTGCCTTGATTTTAATTCAGGTGATAACTCACCATCTTGAACTCGTCTGGTTTCAGTGGCAGTTTTGAAACCTTAGTACATTTTTAATAGCATGTGGGTATCAGAGCCATTATTAGTCTCCTCGGTTCCTTTGAAGACTGCTATCAGTTTCTTGGACTGGAGATACAAATAATTTAGAAATAAAAGATGATAACCTAACACTATCATAGTTATTAATGTGATTCCAAAATTGTTTTTCAAATCAGCATCTTCCTTGAAAACTAAGTAGTCATTTAAAAAATACCAGTGTTTGCTCAGTATGATCTTGACATTCCCACAAACCAAAAAGGAGGGGGTAGGAATTTGGCTTGGCTTTCACTATAGCACTGGAATATGGGATCTCACACGCTTTCTAAATGTAAACTAAGGTTTCACTAGGCAATATCATATGCTGAAAGTAGTAAACTCCAACACAAATTACATATGTGCAGACATTAAAGAAAGCAGTTTATAGATTTTTATGGTACTAATAATGAAATTTATAGGTATAGAACAAAAGCTTAATAGAAAATACCTTATTAGAATATAAAAAGTTTTTAGGAAAGGGTGGAGAACAAGCATATTAAATCAAAATTGGCCCAAAAGAAAATGTATAGCAGAGTTGAGGTTGTTAAACAGAAAAAGTTTTATGCAATGAAATAACTTAATGCAAAATTGCTAGGCCAGTCTTAGGTCATTTCTGAAGACTTCTCTGTCCTCAGACTTGCTGTCATCCTTAAAGGATATATTTTGTCTTTCTGTAGAAAATTGTACCTGACCATAATTAAATTTGAAAAATAATGTTGAAAAACAACCAAAGAAAATTGGTACCTACCCTTCTACAAAAGAAGTGTTAATAGATACCAGTCAATAATTAACATATCAAGGAGTGCTTGTAGCTAAGTGATCATGCAGAGAGACCTCTGGCATTCCTGTGAATACTGAGAAGAGTTGTCAGAGTGTGCGTGTCCTCCAGCGCACATGCACACAGACAGAGTGGATGTCATAGAATATGGCCGTCGCGTTTTTCTCCCCTTTCCAATTGCCTTTCTCGACCTCATGCCATTCCACATATGTCTGAGTTGTGCCTCAGTTATTGAGTGGCAAGACCTCGTGATGTGGATGAAGCTGTCAAAGACATGAGTAACTGTCGTGTCAAGGCTCATCCTCCAAACACCACACTCAATGGTGGTGAGCAGTGAGTACTAAGTACTTGGGTTAGAGAAGCAAGCAGAAGACAAACCACAAGGTGAATCTGTAAACTTTATTTACTCACATTCTCCTACTCTGACCCCTTCAAGTGTTTTCCATCTTCACAAATATCTGGGAAAGAAAATCAAAATTTTCCTTTATACTTTTTGTTCCTCACAGCTCCTCCTTTTCCTTTTGAAGGAGCAGCTAGCTGGAGTGTTGGGAGAGGCAGTGAGCACAGCTCCTGTGAGCTGCTGCTTTCCCTGTTCCCTCCTCCTCCTGACTGTGGGTTGCAGAGCTGTCCCTTGACCTAAGCAGTCACATGAAGACTTAGCAGTTGTGTGCTCTTCATTCATTTCTGTAGCCAAAGTTGTTAATTAAAATCCCAAATCTAAATCTTGAATATACCAAATAGAAACACCTTTCAGCTTCTTAAAAATCTTGTCTCCCCTCTGCTTTACTGTCCTATGTATTCAGTGTTTCTTAAGGACACTGTGTGTGGCACTTTTCAGGTGAGAAACTGTTCAAGTTAAGGAAATGCTAGCTGCTCTGAGTTCCTCACCTTGCTGTGGATGGCCTCCGGCTTTGTATGCCAGTAGTTGTTTGTTATTTAACAAATGCAAGTGAGAACTGCAAGGGTGAATACAGTTGCTGCTGAGAGTGGTGTGAAACTAGAACCTAAACATTTAAAAATATTCCCTTTTTTGAGTGGAAGATACTGGATGGGGAAGCAAACATAGGGGCTGAGGGTAGCATGTTAGTCAAGACCACAGTTCAGCCTTTGAACATCCTGGATTGAGGGTGACTGTAGAGTGCTGTGCTTCCCTGTCACTTGAATCTGGCTCAGCAATGTAGTAATAAAAGGATGCCAGTGAGTAGCTTGTTACAGAATTCTCAGTACAGAATAGTGAACATGCTGTTTGGATTCTTTAGAAGTGCTACAATTGCTGGTTATTGCCTTAAAAGCAGTCTACTTGGCGTTATGAGCACTGGAACATCCCAGCTCTGCATAGGGCATTCTATTGAAGGGAGATGAGCCTGTTGAAGAAGCCTTAGAACGGGACTCTTAAAATAGGATTCTGCACAGACAGGTGAAAATCCTTTAAACTGGATATTACTCAACATGTTTTAAAATATTTCCACTACATTGGGGCAAAGGTTGTTTTTTTTTTTTTTTTAAGTGGAATGCATTTTATTTTAGAATTTCTACTTTCTTTCTGTTTCTTTGGTGATTGCAAGTTTGTTAATGAACGTTTGTGTAAAACTGTTATCTGTGGCCCTGCCTGTTCTTAGTCCCACGAGAGTCCATGGAAGGTATAAACACTGGATATTAATATTGTTGAGTGAGTCTAGCCAGGAGTAAGCTGATTGGAGTGTTGAATGGTGAGAAGAAACAGCACAAAGGCACTTGCCGTTTTAATAGTGATTGGAGAAAGAGAACCTTTTAAGTTTGTTTGCATCAGTGAGCATTCTTCTAAGGAGCTTGTGAAGTAACTGCAAAGGAAAAGAGTTGACTATTTTTATAGCATATTTAATATATTTGTATATAACTATGAGTATAGTAGGAGCCCTCCACATGCCTCCCACTTTTCTAATTTCTCCCTTGCCATAGCTCTAGCATAGCCTCATCCGCATGGTAACGTGCCTATCGTCAGCCTACCAAAAGATAGTGCTGCTGCTTTTTGAGACAGGTGAGAAGACCCAACTCTCATGCCTGGGGATCCTTTATGGGAGGAATAGCACACACTTTCAAAACAACATACCACAGTCTGAAAGCATCATTTTGAAATGTATAATAAGAAGCACTTTATTGCAATTATTCATTTTGATAAAGTTTATTATCTTAGGCATTAACCATTTCTAAAGGATCCCCAAATCATCACTTAGGTGAAATTATAAATGATACATTTCTGAGAAATGTTTAGATCCAGTGAACCGTAGTAGGTTTATGGACTGATTTCAAGGTAGCCAAATGAACTTTGACTTCTGTTTGAATGTGGTGGAGTCAAGAGATTGTAGATGCCTAGTCCCATTTAAACACTATTGTAAACCTATCTTGCCTATTGTGTGGACACCAAAAGAGACCAATGAGCCTGTTTATTTTCAGAGGTCTAGGAAAACTGCATCCATGTGAGTAGATGTACAGAACTAATCTAAAAGTGATCGGTAGTAATTATTTTAGAATACAGTAATTTCGAGAATTATTCTGAGTGTTTTAAATGTGCCCTGAAATGTTGGCATGTCATTTCAGCGTTTCCATTTGAATTGCTCTTGTAACATTTTTGCACAAAAAGGACTGAGAAAAAGACTACTTTGGTTAAAGGAAAAAAGGTATAATTTGGTCTTATTCTAATGTCCTCCGTGGAAACACTGGGGATGGATTTTGTTGGTACAATGATTAATTCAGGATATTTAAAAGTGTTGAACTCAAAAGAAATTAAGCTAACTTGGATATTTAAAAATTAAAATACTTTCTTTCCATGTGACTGTTTTGCATAGTTTTTATTTCCATGTCATAACACTACATTCCCTGTTTTTCTTAAATAAAATAATACTTTATAGGTTTTGTTTTGAGTGTTTTACAGTAATTTGTGAGTTGCCTGGGCTTTCCCCGGGAAATGATCCTCAGTGAAATAGGATAGTTTATGAAGAGACCATTAAGTGAAATTCCATCACCGCCACCAGCAAACACTGAGGTGCTCACTATGTGAGAGAACTTATTGTGGAAAGTGGTTGAAAGAAGCAGGTGCTTTGAATGCAGTTCTCTGGGTTTCTTGAATAAAAATGGCTGTATGTATTTATTTTTAAATATCTTTATATTCTATCTTCTCATCAAAGTGGTTTTGGTGTCATCACATGTATTTAATTTGTAGTTTGTTTTCTGTTTTGCATCATAATGTTAAGAGAACTGGCTCTTTAGGGGAGGGGGTACAGTCATTAGCCCTCATGATGGTGCCCCAAGGACAGTCTTAGTCTGTCACTTCAGAACAGCAGTGGAGGGCCCCAAACCGGATGACCCTGCACTTCCCTCCTGTTCTCAACTCATTTAAGAAAAAATGTATAAAGGTAACTCCTTGCAAATCTGTTTCACACAGTTCCAGCCTTTTTCTGTTTCACCTGCTGCCTTCTCTCTACTGTGGGCACTTTTTGTACTTCCCCAACACATCCACAGCCAGTGTGACAGGACCAGTGGCACATGCTGCCTCCATTTGGGGGAAACGTTAGTAAAATAGCATCTGTTCATGACTATTACTATCCTTAAATGTAGGTGGAGCAGTGTATACACACCGAAAACTAATACAAAAAGTGTTGCTGTCCATAAGACAGTATATGTTGCTTGGTCCTTTAAAAACATAAAACCTCCATATTCAGCACTGTCCAGTAAATCAGTGTTTGAATCTGAAGCACAGACATTTGAGGATCCTTTTTTACATGATTTGGACCCCAGAGCAGCTCTGGGTCCCACGGGCTAAGTACAGCACACAGCTTAGAGAATGTCAATTAAAGCACATTAACTACAAGCTGGATATAATGATGTAAAATGTTTCTTAACTCAGAGGGTTAAATTGCAGACAATGATTTATTTCAAATAAACACTTTTAAATTTCTGAGGAAACAAACTGTGACATCACTTTAAAAAATGACATTCAGATGTTTTTAGTGTGTTTTTGAGTTGACCTGGACTGGTACAAATTCACTGCTGGCAATGGTTGTGCCAGTGCCAAGAAGTTAAGATGTAGGAAAAGCTGTTACTTTCAAGTGGATATATTGTAAAACTAGACAACCACCTTCAAGCAAAAAAAATGGCCAGAAAATGTCTTTTAAATATTATGGAACTCAAAACAGATATGATGTAGACCATTCTAGTATTGTTTGGAAACCTATTTTACGATGGTGTAAGTTGGAGAAGGGCCTCCATATGACACTGTAAAGATTAAAGTCCAAAGATGAGTTAAATTCAGTGCTGAATTGAAACTAGTGCAAAAGTTTTCGTTGTAAATTTGACATCAGCTGATAGTTGTGAAAACACGCACCAGATTCCTCCTCATGTTCCGTGTGGTTCTTCACTTGATGTCCTTGTCACTGCTGCCCCTACTGCTTTGGTTCTTGGTTTCAGATGTACAGGTAGAGGCAGCCCTCCATTCTTACTCGCCAGCCTGTGGAGCTGGAAATGGCTAACTGATCTTGAGATAAGAATTCTTTTTTTCTAAGGCAAACATTTAATTGGAACCCAAATTGACTTAGAAAAACAGAAAGCCATTTTCCAGGTGTTGTCTTCTCCTAAATTACATAGAAGCATGAGGGATAATGAATGGTTTCAATGGTGCTATATTAGACTCTCTGGTTTTCCTCAGCTGATTTTCATCATGTTTAGAAGTACTATATTGTATAAAACGTGGATCATTTTGTTACCAATTTAATATTGCCATTTTAATTTGGTGTAACAGCTAGTCACACTTGTTTTTCAAAGCTGTCCTCTGAGAAAAAGTCAGTGTTGATGAGCTGCCTCCATGCTGGCCTCTTGCCATCTGGCCACTTGTCCAGGTTTGATGTGCGCAGCTTTTAAAACTCCGTGTACTATTACAGTGCTCTTTCCTATAGACTCTTGTAATGTATTCAGAACCTGAAATTACTGCAAAAGAGCCAAGCAGTAGTGTTGTTTTTTTGTAAATGTAAAAATGATTAGAACTAGACTGTTTCCTTCATTTTAAAAATAAAAAATACCTCAGTGCTATATAATGTTTTTCAGTATCACCTGCATTTCTCAAAAAATAACACCTGCTTTGTGTGGCACATAACTTGTAAGAATCACATTATTCTGGATTTTGAAGAAAGACTATTAAATATTTTAAAATCACTACAGTGATACCTTCCTTCCTTTTATCCAACAGTGGAGCCTGATTGCTGGTGATTTTTACCTGGAAGCTTGAGTCTGAATCACCAAATCCTCTCAAAGGACTGTTCTGTCCTGCTACAGGGTGGTGGTGGCTCAGAAACCTAGGCTGATTTTCACGTTAGTATTCCCTGAACTGTTAAGTTTGGGCTTTGATGGTACCAGCTACTTTCTATAAGGAATTGTCCTTCTGTTCTTAGAAAGGAAGAATTAATGAGAATTCTCCCTCTCTTTGTGTCCAATGAGGTAAAGCAGTACTATGGGTGTCTACCACAGGGAATGAAGGTGTTAGTGTGGAGACCTAACCTGAAACTTCTCTGAAGTGCTAAATCTCAAGTCACATGTTTTTTCTACCTTGTCATAACACATACTTTTTATGGAGAGTTTCCCAGAACGACCCGTCTTCCTTCATGGTGTGTGCTGCCTCTGCTTCTTAGCTGAGCACCACCTGCATCTCTGCAGTCACTGCACAGACAGTGCTGGGTGATGACTGGGGTTCCATCACAGTCTCTTCCAATTACACATTACATTGTGGACCTTTGTAGTAGTTCAGTATTTTCCTGGGTCTGTGGTTATACTTCACACAAGGACTCTGGATGTGACTAGAGAAGAACTGTCCTTCCAATTTAGGGAGTATTAATGCATAGGATTCTAGAACATACCAGGTTGGGAGAAAACTTGGGTAGAGACGTAGTCAAGTTAGAATATTCTAACTTTCAGCATAATGAACGATGCCCCTCTGGGATTAACACCCCAGCCTGCAGCTCTGCCCTGCCAGGTGGCCTGGCGGGCTCCTCTTCTCCTTTTCTTATTTTGCGTTAGTCCTACTAACCACCTCATAGAACTGTGGGGTCAGGGCGGTGCTTTCAGAACAAGGCCAGGCTCCTGTTGAGCCACTTAAGTATCTCTCAAATACTTAATACATCAGTGTTTTTACATCAACTTTAGAAAAGGGTCTACCAATGTTAATACTGTTTTGGTGATTTGTAAAGTTATGGACTCGTATAACACACAAGGAGAAACAAGCGCTGGTCATACCATTTTTATTTACATTGTATCTATGTTACATTGTTTATCCAACATAGAAAAAATATGAATACATTCATAGTATTCTCTTTTAATTTGGTAATTCCACATTGTCAAATATTGACTGTTTTTTTTTTATTGGGTGTCCTACCCAATTAAAAAAAAAAAAAGAGGAAGAACAGAGCTTGCAGACAGACAGCTCTTGTGTCACATTACTGAAGTAACAATACTCTCATGTTTGTCCCTCTCACTTTTTTTTTTAAGCAAAGAACCTAATTTCAAAAAGATTGATGCTTAAATTACTGATTACTGGCCAGAAAAATGTTTTAAAAATAGAAATTAATTCATTCTTTCCCTACAAAAAATTTTAACATCTCAATACACCTAAGTGATCAAGGAGAAAATTTGTATTCCTTATAAAAGGGTCAGTGCTAAAAGAAAATCAAGTGACAGAGCCCACTGCATAATAGTTCTGTATATACCAAAACAGAAATGGGGACTGGACTGACATAATTATGCTGGAGGGAAGGAAAACCCACATTTAGAGGTCAGGTTTCTTTTAAAAACCCAGGTTACAAAGAGAATCAATGATTATCTCTTCTGACATAATACTTTCATAAAATAGTTCAAAGCCACAAATCAATGCTACAAAATACAGTATTTTCCATCACTTTTAGTTACCATGTACACTATGTACAGAAAGATTAAGAGTTACCTATCTTAAACTAACCACAGATGAATAAACAGCTTGTTAAAAACCAGAATCAGGACTTATAAATAGTGCAGAAAACGCAAACGCCAAAAACACGATGCCTCCTATGATGGTCACTGGAAGAGAAGAGGAACAGGTCAGGCAAAACGTTCCTGCCCCTGACACTGTACAGACTGTGCGGGGCCAACTAGGGGCCTCACCCTGAAAACAAATTAACCCATTTACACAGCAAAGAACAACAATTCACATGCTTGACCCTGAACAGTAAGAATCAGTTTCTTCTCTAGCACTGTTTTGAGAAATGACAGTATTACATTAAATTAAAATGTTGCTGACAAGCAACAGAAAAACTGTAACTAATCTTAACACCCAATTACAATGTACATTCTGTTCAGCCCCCTTCTAAGACTTAAATTATTCTGTCTTCAGACCTAACAATTATTTATAGCTGCTCGAGGAATTTTCAATAGAATCAGACTCATGGTCTCCATCTATGAGTCCCAGTCTTCTATACAAGACATATTTTAAGACCAAAAATTTCTCAGACTTTCACATGATGATTGTTTACTATTTTAAACTGCACATGAACTTTATGCCCACCCTATATTAACAAAAAGCTACAATGAATTCAATAATGCCTTTAGATGAGCTGAATTTGTTATTTTACTAACTTCTACACATGTGAAAAATAGTCTGTGTTTACAATGCCAGAGATACCTTTAAGAAATGATAATTATAAAGACTGGTATCTTTTAGAAGTAACAAATAATCAAGGCTAACACCTTTTCTAATCTCTCAATGATTCTAAAAGACTTACCAGTTCTGACTGAGATTTTCTGTGCTATCATTCTTCCTCCAATTACTGCCAACCCAGTGCATAAGCAGTGTCCCACGGTTCCACCCACTGCTACACCATAGGGGTCCTGGAAGCAAGCATAACAGCATTAATTTAAAACTAAGGCTGAAACTGTTGAGAAAGGTAAAAATCAGTAGTAAAAATGGAGATCAACAATGAAAAAGCGTAAATAGTTATAAAATTCAGGTGTATTAATTTATGAAAGATATAATAATTGCTTAAAGGAATATGTACCTTTTATAACTAAGACTAGACCTAAAAGTTGAAAAAAATCAACTTGTAAAGTCAAAATAATCCTGATGAAATAAAGCTAATTAAACCTTTTAGCAGTTACTAATCTTTATTCACAGGCAATATTTAGCGATCATGTGCAAGGGCTAAGGAGAGCTAAGCTTGTTCCTGGGCTGGTGAGGACAGACCCTGCCTCCTCACTCCGTGTGCTTTCGGTGCTTTTAGCTCAGTGCCACCAACGTTTACGTCCAGTTAAGTGCATGCCAGCACGGCAAAGGAGGCATTCACCTCGGGGCGGGGCAGGATGGGGTGGGGTGGGGGGCGGTAGCAAGGGAGTGGTGGCCCTGAAAGAACATGAAGCAGGAGTCAGCAGGAGGGTGTGGTTTTGTTTTGAGGGGAAGGAACATGGTAAGTGGAAAGCAGCAGCCAAAATACAGGAGAGAACCGACCGCAGCCCTTCAGCATCTCCACAGAGAACCGAGGTGTTCCAGGAGGCCAGCAAGGGAGGGACAAGCCAAGCTGGGATGGACCCTACAAATATGGGAACTTAGATGTTGCCCTGAGGCACTGGTTGGTTTCTAGCTGGGAAGTGAGATTTATACTTTTATCATCTAGTGGAAAGAACTGGAAGGGAAACAAGACTAAAACCAGGCGATCAAGTGAGATGGTTGGTGCAGTGGCCTGGAGAGGGGTGGGTGACCAAAGCAGAGAAAAAGAGATGAATTTGAGAAAATTAAGGAGGCATAATTATTATACTTCCATGACAAATGAATGATAGGTATTATGAAGGAAAAAACAGACATGACACCCAGTTGCCCATAATTCTCTGGATGAATTATGATAAGACCAATGTGATAAAAAGATAGAAGCAACAGGGAAAGGGCTTATGGTGCCAACAGGAGTTAAAGTAGAGAAATTCAAGAGTCACCTGAACTGGATGGTCGATAAGCTATGGGACTGGATATGATTATCCTGGAGAGAATGCAGGAAGAGAAGGGTGTTAGCACGATGGGGAAGACTGCAGCATTCACGGGAGACTGAGAAGGTCGCCGCAGTGAACTCAAAGCCTTAGCATCACTGATGCAGGAGTCCCACAAGTTACTCCCATCACGGGCAATGTCCTCTGTGTCTACGGGAGGGCGGGCATGAGTGATCCTTAGAAGTACAAGTGAGGAAAGAGGCTATTTCTTTTTAAAGATGAGGAAAAAACCTGCACACTAAAAATGCTCAAAAAATTGAGCTGTGACAAAAGCAAAAATGTAAGCTTATTATAAGTGGAGATAAAGACTGAGCACCAGAGTACAGGAAGAGGAGACAGGCCCTGCTACCATGATGGTAAGGAACAAGGACAGGGGGCTCCTGCTGTTCTCTGTGAAACGCGGGTGCCTAGCTACAGAGACTGAGGAAATGGAAATGATTTGAAGCTTCTACTGTACCCAAATTTTACTTTTGTGTGTTGTTTGATCTTTTTCATACAGGAGTTCTCCTTGTTGCCCAGGCTAGAGTATAGTGGCACAATCACAGTTCACTGCAACCTTGAATTCCTGGGCACAAGTAATCCTCCTGCCTCAGCCTCCCAAAGTGCTAGGATTACAGGTGTGAACCACTGTGTCCAGCCTATTTTGTGTATTATTAACTTCTAACAGTGCTACCCCAAGAAAATTGTTTTATTCTATCTGAAAGTGTAGAATCAGTAGTATAAATAAAATTAAACAGTTCCTTTAATAAGGTACTTTTCAGACTTTTTGTTAACTTTGTACTGAATCATAAAACCGATAAATTATTTCCTTGATTTATTTGGCTCTGAAACTTCTCCCCTCTGCTTCCTCTTCTTTGGGCCTGGTACCCATTAACATCTCAGGACGCTAGATTCAGTGAAATCCAACCTGGGAACATGAAGTCATGCTGGAAGCAGAGAGAAAATCACAGACCAACATGGACTGAACTAGACTAATGCATGGGTCATACAAAAGAAAACCCCCAAAGTAGGAATATTCAGAAAACAAAAACAGGCCTGTAAGAGGTCATTACTCATTCCTGCAGAGCTGGCAGGGTAGGAGGACGGCTGATGAGTGCCTGGTGTCAGGCTGCTCTCTAGCTGTCATCTTACTTCATCCACAGAAGGGGGAGAGTGCAGGGAGGTGCAGTGATTTGGTGATACAGCAAGACTCTCAGGCCCAGGTAGCACAGGCCTTGCCAGTGGAGCAGACCACGTAAAGGGAATCTGGTGCCCCTCGCAAGTCTTGTGCCCACACAGAAGAGCATAAGGAAGAATGAAGGACTGGTGCAGTGGCTCAGCTTTGGGAGGGTATAGTGGGTGGATCACACTTGTGACCAGGAGTTCAAAATTAGCTTGGGCCCTCATCTCTACAAAAAAATATTAAAAAAAAAAATTTTAGCCAGGGATGGTGGCACACACTTGTGGTTAGTCCCTACTACTTGGGAGGCTGAGGCAGCAGGATCACCTAAGCCCAGGAATTGGAAGTTGCTGTGAGCTGTGATCACATCACTATACTCCAGCCCAAGCAACAGAATAAATGCCCCTCACACAGAAAAAACAATGAAAAAAGAGAACATGATTCCCCTGTCCTAACAGCTCACCCCTGCAGCACATTTATTTTCAAGTCCTGGCTCTGTCGATACGAAAGCCAAGAAAAGGCTGGAAATCAAGAAGACTATAGAGCCCAGCCATGACAGTGATATTCTAAAAGAAGGGTTGTTTTTTGAAAATTGTGAAAAAGTCTCATTTTTCCCTCTAAAATGCAACATTTCTGAGGCTTAACTGACAAAATAGCCTTTCCCAACTATCTCACTCCTGGCCCTCAACTGCAGCCTACATTAAGAAACTCGTTATTTTAGACACTTCCAAGGAGTTAGAAACAATTTCAGCCTGACAAAAGCACTTAAGAAGCATCAGTTAAGATCAGGAGCATGAATAGCAGCGGAGGTGGCAGAATTCCATCCCCCAACCTGCTCCTTTGAAAGTCCTGGTGTAGGCTCGGCGCCTATAGCTCAACCGGCTAAGGC